AAAAAGAGGGAAGCCGACGGCCGCGCACACTTGCCGGCCTCGAGCAATGAAAAAATAAAATCCCCACAAATCAGGCCCAATTAGGCCAAGTACATATCAGTTGAACACAAGTGTAGTACCACTGACAGGTAACATGGACGACACGTCCACACACTACAAGGGAATAATCAAGGCCGAAACACACGCCTACAAAACCCTAACCGCATCGGTTGGGTGATACGCGAGAGGTGACCTTCATCGGCCATAGTCCTTTGAGGCACCAACGCCTGGTATGAAACAAGGCATCGCAATCCTGAGGATGACCAGGACGAAGCAGGCACTTATCACACCCGCGAAAGGATCAAGCAATCAAGAAACAACCTCTACTTGCCATAGCTCCTCGGATGGCCGACGCGGACACTGGAACCAAGGCCGTTGGTCGAGCGAAAGCAGGACCATCTCCTTGGACAAGCCATTCCTTATCCAGCACCCTCATCGGCCACAAGCCACACCTTGGCCGGCAGCGGCACCGCAAAGAAGTAAATGCCTAACATTTATACTTAGGAAATTTTCTAAGTACTCAAATGAAGGAACTCTAGCCGAAGTGGGTACCAGTATACTACAAAGCCGTTAGCTACCTACACCTCTGCATGTTTACTTAGGAAAAATTCAAAGTCCACAAGACTATGGTGAAGGTGCCCTTATCGGCCACAACACAGGGATGCAGGCCGACAATGACACTGGTTCAACACTTGGCAAGTCACCCCAACCATTTGCCAATAATGGGGAGAGACTAAACCCCATGGACGTAGCGGACACCACGATCACGGGCAAAAGGACCAAAAGCCGACAAGGCCACCATGCCACAAGGAAGCAACTGTAAAAACCCAAAAACACTTAGAAAATTTTTTGAAAAATTCCCAAGTGTTATGATACTGCATCAACACCGGAGTGGCCGACAAGGCCACCAGGCCGAAAGGAAAGCGCCTAAGTGGATCCCAAAGTGTTGTAAAACTACGTCCAGGCCGCTCAAGCCACTAGGCCGTAAAGACAGCAGCTACATGGACCCAAAAACACTTGGGAAATTTTTGAAAAAAATCCTAAGTGTTATGATAGTAAAGCAAAGATGAATAGGCCGACCAGACTACTGGACAGGAAGGCCGACCTCACGGACGTAGCGGACACTCGCGGGTGACCCAAGTTATGACTCGACACTCAGACAATTTACAGAATCGAGACGACAAAAAGCAAACAAGCATACAAGGGATTCAAGGCCGAAAAGGACAGCAAAAATTTCTTCAATTGATAAAGTTCATTACAATTGGGGGGCACTTCGGCCGTTACAACATTTGGCAAAAAAATGAAAACTAATTACAACAGGGAATAGCCGATCAAGCCTCCGGGGCACCTTCATCCGCGGCTGGCTCTTCTACCTCATCAGCTCCCTCATCGGCCTCAGCTTCTTGGCCGGCAGCGGCTGCGGCGCTGGTGGCATCGTCCAGGAAGTCGAATTCGGTGTAATCCGGCTCGCCGAGGCCGGAGCTTTCTATGGGGGACTCTCGCTCCGACAACGGAAGCTTGGCCTGCTCTTCTGGATCCTTCATCAGCTTCGGCAGCTTCAGGTTCCGTCTAGCCCACCCAGACGTGTAATTCATGGCCTTCAACGCCCGGGACAGCCGCCGACACAGGAGCCTTTGCATCCGCTCCTGGCCCAGGTTATAGTACACAGACATCTCCCGGGTGAAATACTCCTGGCCGGCGGGGGAGTTCATCCCCCAACTCTCAAGCCTGGCGGCCACCACCTCGTAGCACCAGGGAAGCCTCTCATCGGCCTTCCACCCCTCAGCCAGGAACTTCTCGACGGCCTCATCGGCAGCCTTCACGACAGCGGCCTCGGCCTCAGCCTTCGCCTTGGCGGCCTCCTCGCTCCTGCGCCTCTCGGCCTCAAGCGCCCTGTGGGACTCCTCGAGCTCCCTTTTCCTCTCCTCGAGCTTGGCCAGGGCATCATCCCTGGCTGCGGCGGCTTCATCTGCCCTTGCCTGCAATGCCTTGGCATCCTCCCGGAGCCGATCAAGGCAAGCTACCGCCTCGTCGGCCGAGGCAGCCTTCTGCTCCAGCTCTTTCAAGCGAGCTATCTCCCAATACTGCCTCTTATGTCTTTCCATAAGCATAAAGGCACTCTGCAGAAGGAAAACAAAGGTCAGGCAAAAGACTCTACACAGACGAAGAGAGAAACAAAAATATAAGGACAGTAACTTACTTGGACGAGGAGGTCCATGCCACCCTCGTAAATCTTCGGGTCCTCGAGCTTCTTCAAGTGAGCCCGATCTTTGGCCGGCATGGCCTTGGCCAGGACGACGTGGCCAGGGACGAGCTCATTAAACACGCCCCCGCCGACGGGGTATTCCACCACCTTCTGGTAGGTGGCACCGGCAATCTCCTTGTCGGCCCTCTGCGTCCGTGGTTCCTGGACGAGAGGAAGCGATGGGGCAGCATCGTCAGCAACAGTAAGGTCCACGACGGGACCACCATCGCCCACGCTGGGGACAGTAAGAGTACCGGCCTCACTAGCCGGAGAAGGGGAAGGAGCCCTCTTCGTCTTCTTAGAGACGCTCACGCCGGCCTCAGTCAACTTTTTCTGGCCGTCAGTGGCCGGCCTTTTCTTCTTCGATGGAGCAGGCTTTGGGGCCGCATCAGCAGTAGCCCCGCTCCCACCGGCCGCGGCACGTCTGGCCGCCTCGGCCGCCTTAGCAGCAATCTCCTCGGCCGCTTTGGCCTTGGCAATAGCCATCATGGAACGACGGTCCATGACAAAATCTACAAAGGAAAAACAAACAGATTAGTAAGGCAAAGGACAAAACATAAAGATAGAAAGCCGAAGAAAGAATTACCATCGGCCTCAGCAGGAATGCCCAGGTCCGGGCCGTCGGCCTCCTCAAAGGTGGTGGTCATCCTCGGCCAGAGTTGGAGGTCATCCTCCTTGTCACCATAGACATAATACCTCACGAAGCCGAGGGCGGCCATCTTATATTCCGTGATGTAGTCCTTCACGCTCCTCGGCCCCCCTTCCAAGAAAGCCTCCACCTGAGCGTCCAAAATAGAGCTCTTCGGCGGGTCGTGCAGGTTAAACCTCCCGGTGTGGCCGAGGGAGGGAAACTCGGTGCCACTCTCACCAATGGACACAAACACGAACTTGCTCTTCCACCCATGAATGGACGTAGGCAAATCCGTGAAGCTCCTCTCCTTCGGCAGCTGCTGAAGAGTGGCGTAGGCCGCACAGTTCTTGTGGCTTCCTCTGCCGATCTGGTACAGATTCATGAATAGTGCCGTTGTCGGCTTGTAGCCCAACTCCTCACACCGGAGCAAGAACCCTACCATCAAGGAGTAGCTGTTCGGCGTCAGCAAGGCCGGAGGAAGCCCGACCATGTCCAGGTACTCAGTAATGAAAGGGTGAAGGGGGAATCTCAACCCCTTAACGAAGCTCATCGGGTATACTCCAAAGTATCCCGGTGGTGGCAGAAGAACATGGTCCGTCGGCTTGGGTGCCCTAACCCGCCCGAACGGCCCCACGTACATCTGGGCAACAAGATAGTCGGCCGCACTGCTCTCCGGCTTGATCAGGTAGATGTTGGTGAGATCTAGATAGGAGATGCCGGGCCCACTCTTCGGCCTCCTCACTCTCTTCGGCTTGGCAGCTCCCTTAACGGCAGACACCGGCCTCGGGCACGGAATGACAGCAGAAGTGGACGCCCCGTCCACCACTCGGGACGCACCTACGTCCTCACCCTTTGAAGAGGAGGCGGACTCCTCGTCCTCGACTTCCTCGTCCACTGGCTCTCCGGATTTGTATGGACTTAAACGCTCTATCTCCTCCTCAAACTCCTCGAGCACCTCGTAGTCAAGCGACCTCGTGGAGGGCTGGTCGTCGTAGGGGTAGTAGTCGTCGTTCAAGCTCTTCATAACTACTACTACGGGCCTAAGGAGATTTAACTTAAGATCTAAGGGTGTTCAAACACCTAACACTAGATCACTAGTCTAGGAAGCAAAATATGAAAAGTGAGGAAGATCACGATGAACACTAACCTTGAACAACGAAGAACACGAAGAACAGGCTGGGAGTTTATCTCTCTAGAAAATCGGCCAGCACTTCGACAAATTCAGAATGCAAATACGTTTCCTCGTCGGAGGGGGAGGGGTATTTATAGAACCCCTCACCCAACGGTCACTACACGTGGCACCCCCCCAATGGCCACACCAACGACCACCAATGGGGGACCACCACGTCACCAACAGGCCAAACTCTATCAACAACCCACTGGCAAGACGGACTCTACGGCCTACACACGCTCACCGGCTTTACAAAGGCCAGCAAGCGCCCACAACGTCCCACTTGTCAGCCAAAACCACAAACGCCAAACAATAAGAAGATGGCAACGGCCAGGAACGTAACGGCCACAGAACAAAGGGAACAAAGAGCCCACAGCCTTCGGCTCCTCGTAATAACCCTTGATGATAACTCTCTACAAGCGATCTGCGCACAAGGGTTCTCCCACAGGGTTACCTTGGCCAGAAAATCGCCATGAGAGTTGGATTCAGGGGGACTACGGAGATGCCGCTTCGGCCAGGGACTCAAGCAACTCCTTCACCCCTCGCACTCCTCGGCCTGAAGCAGTGGGGGACTGGGGGACTACACTGGCCTCAACAAAGCACAAAGGAAACACTACAAAGAACATGAACGTAACCACAAAGCATGGCCACATCATCCATTCAGCACAACGGAACTTCATCGGCCAAAGGCCCATAACGTCATTAGCAACGGCCAACAAGCCACTAGAGGCAAGGACACTCATCATCCTCCGCCAATAATCAATCTTGACGGGCCCTTCGGCCAAGAACAAGAAGGCCAACCAGCGACGGCCAATAGGAGTGCGCGAGCGCCCTCATCGGCCACCCAAAGGAAAGGACACCATCGTCCTCAAAGCAAGGAACAACCTCAACGGCCTCACCGGCCCAAACATAAACTTCAACCACCAACGTCTAGAAAGGGAAAGCGTGCCTTCAACGGCCGACATTGAAACAAGACAGTCATCATCCTCAAATACATTAAGGAAACAACGGCCTCCCCGCCCACAACGAGGAACAGGTAACGGCCAAAGCACAGAACAGGATCACCAAAGAGGAAACAAAGCACAGGAATCTACTCTCCTTCGCTTCGTCTACGTCTCAGCTTAGAGAGTGGGGGACTCCTGATGGAGTATATGGGTCTGAGCCCCAGGACCCACATACTCGGAAGAACAGAAAGCACAAGACAACAGAGTGGCGCCCTCGTCGGCCAAGACGCCCCCGTCGGCCGAAAAGGGGCCAACTCAGATTACGGTCCTGAGCCCAAGGAACTCGGGTGCCCTCGTCGGCCGCGCCCTCGTCGGCCGTGCCCTCGTCGGCCACGCCCTCGTCGGCCACGAAGACCTCCCAGAATCGGATTCTATACTTACTCATTTGTACAGCCCATTAGAGGCTTTGTATTCGGCCCAGTAGCGGTCCAGTTGTAAATGGGCCTCCCAAGCCCAAGGCTTGGGAGCCCAACCCTAATTTTCTCTATAAATACTCCCCTTGGGAGTAGTTATAGGGGTTACAAAATCATTCTATTGAAGCATATTATTGCACTTCTCTCTCTAGCTCTCACTTCTCTCTAGATATACTCTATCATAAACCTTAAAGGATGATTTATGAAATTGCGTAAATGTAAATTTTTATTAATTCTTTTACGTGAATAGTAAATTGCATGTGGGGCCCACGTCCGGACCGGAGGGTCGCCCGATAATTCCCGAACCACATATTATATTCATCTTGGTCTAGATGACATCTATATGGTGGTGGATATTTTATTTGGGCCATAAGGAAGGCATGGAGTTGACCGGTTGGTCAAACGGGGCCCAATTACCGGTATTGGTAATTTAGCGGATAACAGCCCGAAATGAGTTTCGGAGACTCCTAAATTAATGTTGGGGAATATAAATCTATTCTAAAGGCCAATAATTATTGGGAACGCGTTATATATTTTATTTGGTCCGATAAAATAAAATATGACTAAAATAGTCCGAAAAATACAACTTTCGGGGCCGATTATACACATCGGGGCAAAATGGGATGACCTCCCACATAAGTGGGGGCCACCCCACGATTTTATGTCTTACAAAGGACCAAAGAAGCAGCTAGGGGCGTGCATATTAGGTGGGAAGTCTCAATTGAGACAAAACCCATACCCCCAAGTCATATCCTCCACAATCATATTGTGGTTGATTGAGGAGTATCCCCTACCACACTTGTACCATCCCACAACTCAACTACAGAGAGATAAGCTCTGGGAAAAATCTCCACAAAGCTTCAGCTCAAGGGAAGCAAGGAGGGAGGAGAATCCAAGAAGGGAAAGCTAGGAGTTGGGTAAGAACTCATTAAGCATTTCTTTTAACTAGTTTATGTTGTATGATTTTTAAGAAATCATATGGTGGATTAAACCACGAGTTCTACACGTTTAAAAGTGTAGAATGTTGATATAAAGTGGTGGTAATTAACTTAGAAGGGTTGGCAAATCGATAGGAGTCGAAATCACCGGAAACCGCCACTTCAAAGGAGCTAGTCGTAGTTGCAGACCACGAAAGCCGCCCGGCTTTTGTGAAAGCCGCCCGGCTGTTGCCCAGAAACCCAGTTTTCCACTTTCAATCGGCCTAGAACGGGGATTGATCGAGGAGCTTAGCAAAGGCAACTATTTCAGCACTTCATAAGGTGAGGATGGCTGACTATATTACTTATAATTAGTGAGTTAATTTCATAAGATTGCCTAAAGTAATTAGATGGGATTTTCATGGATTATTAATGAGTAATAATGCCTAAATGGAAATGATATTGATATGAGTAAGTGAAGCATGATATACAAATTTAGAATAATTGTGTATGATTATGTGAAATAAATAGAATGGCATATTTATGGAATTATGTTAATCCCAGAATACTAACAATCATCAATCATAACAAGAAGAATAAGAAGCAGATAGGAAGAAATCGAGATATTATACGCGAATCTGGTATACCGTGTAAACTGGCCGCTGCTCTCCCTGGAGAAGGAGAGCAGCGGCAAACCCTATCTCTCTATCTTTACGCCTCTGAACTCTAAGCCTCTATTGATGATTAGGGTTCCCGTAAGTTAGCCTCCTTTTATAGGAGAAGTTGGCTAACTTACGGGTTACAAGGAAGCCCCCGGGCTGATACACATTTGTGGCCCGTATTACACGTTTAATTGATAACTACACAAATACAAAGATAACTAACTAGATTGAACACCATAAAATATTCCCAACAAATTACTATGATGACGTTGTGATAAAATATACTTTACCCCATGTATGAAATTCACGAATGGAGTAAAGTGATATTTTTGATAACTGAGATCAAACTATACTTGTGTTGGGAAATCAATTGAAATGAAAAGTCAATTGGAAAATAGAAACTCGGCATGTTCTAAGATTATCCAATTAGTATCAAAATACTAGTCGAGGGATTAATATAAATAAATGATGAAACAAATCCTAAGAGGTAGGATTGTGAATAGATATGCCTTAAGTAGTCTCAAGAGATACTTTAAGGTTGAATCGTATGAACACTAAGGTGTGATAGGGGTAGGCCTAAAGGCCACCTACGGGAATTGATTCTAGGCATAGGATTTGCTTGAGAATTCGACTATGAAGTAATTAGAGTTGGACTCTAGGATGACATGGAGATGTAGTTGGGCCGAGCCCATGCCATGTAATATGATTAGCATGGAAACGTAGTTGGGCCGAGCCCTTGCCATGTATATGTGACCTCCGTGGAAACGTAGTTGGGCCGAGCCCTTGCCACGAAGTTATGGTTGGTATGGAAACGTAGTTGGGCCGAGCCCTTGTCATACAAATTTTGATATGATATATTGAGTTAGAGGATTGTATAGAAATGTAGTTGGGCCGAGCCCATGCTATACAATTGGGGCTCGATGGGACCCCACGGGGTTATCGTGATTTGCGGTCACGTGGGAATGGAAACGATGAATTCTAAATAAATATGGGCCTACGGGCCGACTACTTGACTTTATATAAAGTAAGTACGGTTAAAAGAAAGGGGTAACCGAGGGTTATGGTCTATAATATAATAGTACCCTAAGTTGAGGGTCTTGGAAATTAAAACGTTGATTATACTTAGTATAGTTGCTATTGTACTTGTCAAATATTTCCAAGTACTGACCTCCCCTTCACGGGGGAGGCCACCTCACAGTTTCAGGTAGGACTTGAAGGTTGCTACCATCGCCCGCAGCTTCGGGAGGATCAAGGGGAGAAGACGTGGTTCGTGCTTCTTCCGTTCTGTTTTAAAAACAATTACGTTAATGCTCATGGATATTATTTTTGAATAATTACTTTGGGGGCTTGTATGCCGAGTTATGCCAAGTGTGGCTTGAACAATTGTATTTATGCTTCCGCTGTTTTAAATGAATGATTTACATTATGCTTGTTTATGGATGTACTATGTGTGAATGATATTCATGACGCCTTGTATAGTATGGATGAGTCGGACTGCGGTTGACTATTCGTACTGTAAGGCGGGTTGTTGACGTGTCCGGCTAGGCCCGGGGCGTGACATGAGCTCTGTCGTCATACATTGTCTTCCGACTACGACCTTGCTGCCACCCCATCCTTCATCTCCATGGCCACACTACTAGCTTGTGTACTAGTCTGATCAACCACTTATTGCCCCGAGCCACCTTATCTCTGCCACCCCCTACTCCTAACCACAAACCGTATGGTTTCACTAAATCACTTTCTTCCATTTCGAACTCTAATGGACAGAAACATGTTGCATGACTAATTAGATAAAAAATAAAGCCAAAATTCAAGAGTTTTGCATATTTGAATCCTCCAAGAACCATTCCCCATCATCCTTAACTTCAATTTCCTTCTCAATGATTTGCCTATGTTCAGGCAAACTCTTAATCTCATATAATAAGGACTCATGGGATCATCAAACTGACTCTCTTCAACGTTGACAAGTTTACCTAAAGATTCCCACTGCTCCTTGAAAGCATAAATGTTAACTATAAACTTGAATCCAAAATTTCACATCAGTTAGAGGATCTTTTAAGGGCAAATCACTCAACTATACAGCATGCATAACTAACAAATTTTGCTCAAAATGGCAAGGACCATATTCAAGTACACATTGCATATCAATCAAATGGAAAAGATAAACATATACATTTTCACCAATTTTCTTAATTGAGACTCCTTTAACTGGGCTCTAGATGGAGGTCGTAACATCTTTATGGAAAGAGGATTTAACCGTTTTCGATGAGTGTCTCAACAACCGATAAGCTAGACCTACTTCTTTCTCCACCGATCATTTCGGTTCCTCCCTTATGTCAAAAGTGAGTCCGTTATTTTCCTCCTCTAGTACCAGCCTTCTTTTACCAAATCGTCCATTGTTGCCATCTTTCTTTAGCTGCCTACTCACTAATTCGGTACGTTCCTTAATTGTTGTTTGCCGAAGAACCAAGGGTGCACTATTGTCAAAAATACCTAGATACCAGCCGCCCACAAATACCTTCAAAAATAAAAAATTGCACATTAAACTAAAAAAGAGATGGGAAAAGCACATGTGAATGCGATTGATATAGTCAAACCCTATGCAGTTGCGCGAGGGAGAAAAACCTATTAAAGCCCGTAAAGTTAACAAGTGAAAAATGAATTATGATAATTGAAAACGGATTTGAAATATTTGAAAAAATGAGAAAAATGGACCTGGAAACCGAGAGAACGTTTGTTGGGATGTAAAATAATTATTTGCATGTGAAATGTAGGAATGTTAAAGGTTCATACCGTTCAGCTTGATTGTTTAATGCAAACCGTATGTCAAATTTAAAAACATTTCACACTGTATCATATAAAGTACTTTACGTGGGGTGGTAAAATACTTTGCATCTTTTTATAAAGCACTGCAATGCATTTGCATGTAAATTAAAAAAAAAATTACGCATCTAGGTAAACAATATAATCTATTTTACATGCAAAGTGATTGTTTCCCTAAACATTGCATGCAATCATTTCACATGCAGATATTTGACATGGAAACTACTAAACGAGCCCGAAAGTAAAGTTCTTAAAAATTATAAATTAAAAAAGGGAATTCTATTTAAACCCACTAATTACTAGATGCAACCCTATAATTTTAAAATTCTTATTATAACCTTGTTTTATAATCTCAGTAAGCATATCCACCGTATGTGTGCATATCCATGTATGTGTGTGTGTATAGATATAGAATGGTGTGGCAGAGAAGGAGAGACGAGTGAGTGGCGAACGAAGGAGGTTGCGAATCTCATTCAGATTGAAAACTATATTCTTGAAAAAAATCACACCAATTCATAAAAAGATGATGAATTAGAGTTTTCTTTGTTCACATTTTCGCGTCTCCTTCTTCACCACCGCTTCCAGCTTGTTACTTTCTTTCCTCTGCAACGAATCACACCAACAGAAACACCCGAGTCGGTTAAGAGCTCCAACACTGCAGCTCCTCAATGGTAGAATCTCCAGATTGTTTCCACACACTCACACAAACAATGCATTCTTTTATCAATCTTGCGTTTGTGGCCTATTTTAACGACAATTATGGGTTTCCAGATTGTTTCATGGACACTTGTGTGGGGTACTTAAATATAATTCATCCGTTCTTTAATAACTGTCTATTATTCTATTTTTACCTGTTTTTTTATCAATTGTCCTTTCCATTTTAGGAAAGTTTTTGAGGTAAATACCCCACTTTATTACCTTTTACATACCACTTTCTATTTCCCACATTATCATCATTTTACTCTTTTTAGTATACTCTCTTTCCTACTTTATCATCATTTTACTCTTCTTAATATACCTTCTTTCCTACTTTATCATTTACCCTACACTATATACTACTCTTACTACCTTCGTCCCTTAAAACTTTGCCAAGTTTGCCCGACACGGAGAATAATAAAGTAAAAATTGTGTGGTTGAGATTTCTGCAGAGGAGATAGAAATAATAGGAACCACAAAATATTTGATTAAAATGGAAAGTGTCAAAGTTTTTTGGGACGTCTCAAAAAGGAAATATGACAAACTTTTAAGGGACGGAGGGAATATTATTTTTCTCTTAAAACCCGTGTCCAAACCTAAAGGGACACGGAATATATATTATTTTTATTTATAAATACCAGAGTATTTAATTTTGTGGCCATGCATAAGGATTCAGGAGCTTTGAATAGAACCATCCAAAAACAACTTATGGAAGCCCAATTCAAATACGGAGCACAATAAAAATGGCTTCGAGTCCGGTATCGCGTGATGATCAAGAAAACCAAAGCCCAATCGCATACTATCACTCTTAAACCTCTCACGGTCTCACTGGAAATTTTCTTCACGATTTCTTAGCCCCCAACCGCAATGGCGTCAATCGGCGCGTCGGGGCTCGCCTTTTCTGCTACCCATTCCCATCGCCGACGTGTTACGTCCTCCGGAGCTGCATCCGTCCCTCCCATTAAGCCGCTCCTGGTCAAATCCAGCCGACCTGCGAACACCTTATCATCTCAAAACCCTGAACCCTCGACATCCACGCCTCGGCGGAATTTTGACTTTTTATCATCCAAACGACTCAATGGGCTCCTAAAAGCCTCTGCGGCGCTTGGCTCTGGCATCTTCTTCATTTCCAACGCCTTTCCTAATCACACTTTCTATCCTAATGGGGGTGGAGGCGGCTCCAGCGGAGGAGCAAGTGGAGGTGGAGGCGGCAGCGGCGGTGGCGGCGGAGAAGGCGGTGATTTCTTGTCTAAGGTTTTCAGTAAACCGGCCAATGCTGGCGAGGAAGAGTCTCAAGAGTGGGACAACCATGGCTTGCCGGCCAACATTGTGGTCCAGCTGAACAAGCTCAGTGGTTTCAAGAGGTATAAACTATCAGACATCTTCTTCTTTGATCGGAAGCGTAGGACTAAAATTGGAACCGAGGATTCATTCTTCGAGATGGTGTCTCTCCGGCCAGGTGGGGTTTACACCAAATCGCAACTCCAGAAGGAACTTGAAACCCTTGCTTCCAGTGGAATGTTTGAGAAGGTGGAAATGGAGGGGAAATCAAACCCGGATGGGACAATTAGCATCACCATTCCCTTCTCGGAGAGCACTTGGCAGTCAGCTGATAGCTTCAGGTGTATCAATGTGGGGTTGATGGCTCAGCAAAAGGCTATTGAGATGGATTCAGACTTGACTGAGAAGGAGATGATAGAGTATTACAAGATGCAGGAGAGGGATTACAATAGGAGAATCCAGAGGTCAAGGCCGTGTTTGCTTCCGCAGAGAGTTGAAAATGAAATTTTGAGTATGATGAGGGATAGTGGGAGTGTGAGCGCAAGACTGCTTCAGAATATAAGGGACAAAGTACAACAGTGGTACCATGAAAATGGATATGCATGTGCACAAGTTGTGAATTTTGGTAACTTGAACACAAGGGAGGTGGTATGTGAAGTGGTCGAGGGGGATGTCACTCACCTAGCTATTCAGTTCCAGGACAAGCTTGGTAATGTATGTGAAGGGAACACTCAGCTCTCTGTTGTTAGGAGAGAAATACCTAGACAGGTAAATATTTTTTCACTCTTCTCTGCCATTTTGTTCCTATCTAATATTGTTTCAGAGTAACTTGTTCTTCCTAATTTCAGACATATCTAAAATAGAGGCCTGTTTGGGTTTTGTGCCCCAAAAAGTTATGATAAAAAAAGTCATTTTTGTTTATTGTACCCCCAAACAAAAATTAGTGCCTCAAGCGAGTTTAGTATATTAAATTTAAGTGAATCAACAAATAAAATAAAAATATAGCTGGAATAGATGAATTTAAGTAGTTTTACACTTGTACTTTTTAAAAATTTATAAGGCTTACGTTAATGAAATATTCTTTTTTTATGTTGCTACGGTTATAGAACAGATGTAGTAATCTACTACTTCGTATTAACTATGAAAGTCATGCTTTTGTTTGTACTCTAAAATAAACTATTGCTATTTTAATGCACTGATTTGATTTTCTAGATTCAACTAAGAAGTGAAAGTAACAAAACATATACTATGTGGAATTGGTAGTAAGATTTAGAGCTGAAAACATATGTGGAATTGTCTATCAGGATTCTGTATTTTGTATAGAATCCAATGGGCTTCACAGCCATTCACATATAGATTAGTTTATATTTGTAATTAATTACTGAGTATTGATTGCATATTCAGCTTCGCAAAGGACAAGTTTTCAACATTGAAGTCGGAAAACAAGCCTTAAGGAACATAAATTCACTCTCTCTCTTCTCCAACATTGAAGTGAACCCACGGCCTGATGAAAAGAATGAGGGTGGAATTATTGTTGAAATTAAGTTGAAGGAATTGGAACAAAAGTCTGCAGAAGTCAGTACAGAATGGAGTATTGTGCCTGGACGTGGAGGTCGCCCTACACTGGTATGGAATAAGAGTTTTGATTGAGAATCTCTTATGAACCATCTTAGGAAAATATCTCTTGGTTTGCAAAAATGAAAGTTTGTGTTTTCAAACTGGAAGTCATTTTCCACAATGTCCAAAACCCTGGATTTTTTTGGGTGCCAAACACAATAAAAATGTAAATTTTTCATTTGGGAAACACGGGAAAACCAATATTTTGTGGGAAACAAATGTAGACTTAGTGCTACTTGATTTAATACACGCTCTTTCTATGGTTATTGCTTTTTATTAGGCTTCAATTCAACCTGGTGGAACTGTTTCCTTTGAGCATCGGAATCTTAAAGGGCTGAATAGGTCACTACTAGGTTCCGTAACTACCAGCAACTTCCTCAACCCCCAGGTAATTTTCTTCAATGTTCATAATTATTGGTCTTTTTAAATGGGAAAAGATGCAGCACATTTGCATTAGACTTGTTTTTCACCAATATTACTTGCAGGATGATCTTGCATTCAAGCTTGAGTACGTCCACCCATATTTAGATGGTGTATCTAATCCTCGTAATCGTACATTCCGTACAAGCTGCTTCAACAGCAGAAAACTGAGTCCAGTCTTCACAGGTGGGCCAGGGGTGGATGAAGTCCCTCCTATATGGGTGGATCGAGCTGGAGTTAAAGCCAACATTACGGAGGTACTTGAAATGATTCCCCTGGGATATGTAGTTTTATCAGTAACCCAGAGAAAATTTAAATGAAGAGTATTTCCTTTGTTTCCCATTCGATGTTTATTTGTTGTTCAAACCCATATATTTTCAGTATTATTATTAACCATCATTTTTTAGCAGAACTTCACACGACAGAGCAAGTTCACTTATGGAATTGTGATGGAAGAAATTACAACCCGAGATGAAAGCAGCCATATCTCTGCTCGTGGTCAGAGGGTGTTGCCAAGTGGAGGAATTAGTGCTGATGGACCTCCAACAACACTCAGTGAAAATGGCATTGATAGAGTGGCATTCTTTCAGGGAAACATCACTAGAGATAACACCAAGTTCATAAATGGAGCTATTGTCGGTGAGAGGAATGTTTTCCAGGTGATTTATGGCTGATATTTTTTGTTTAGTTTTAGCTGTAAATCTGAATTACCATTAAACTGTCTTGACAACCCACAACCTTACTTCTACACAAGCTTGACACAATGTTGATTTCTGTGCTGAATACTATGAAGTATTTTTAATGATTCTTCTTTTTGTATTTTGAATACATGGTAGCCGATTTTTCCATAAATGGGCAATCAGTCGCTTTTTGGCCGTGTTGCTTTTTAAAATATGCTACAAGTATCTGTTCTTGACCTTACATTTTTCTTGAAAAGTCATTGCCATTCATTTTGATTTTAAGGCAATGCTTGGTTGGGGGGTTTTCGAGTGGGGGGAAAGGAAAGGATTGAGTTTGGTTTCACTATTTTATCATTCTTAGACTAGAACGTAGCTATTTTCAGTTAAATAATGTATTTGTATTTAGCCTTTCATTTTCATTTTCCCAACCATGTAAATGTAAAAAGTAATTAATAAAATAAAAATCACTTCTCCCTCTCCCAAAGTCCTCCAACCAAACACTGGCCAAGTGAACAGTAAACTGGTCATTTTTTAACAAGATCATTTTCCTTTTATTTTTATCATTTCCAATCTTTCATCTACCTGAGTTTATAATTGGATTCCAAGGATGAAATGAGAACATTAGTATTATTTGCACTTGAAATATTTCATAAAAATTTGCATTAAAAAAATCCCAGGTTGATCAAGGATTTGGAATTGGAACAAAAAATCCAGTCTTCAACCGACACCAGTTGACTCTCACCAGATTTATTCAGTTGAAGAAAGTGAGTGAAGGTGTTGGCAAGCCTCCACCACCCGTTTTAGTCCTTCATGGACACTATGGGGGTTGTGTTGGAGATCTTGCGAGCTATGATGCTTTCACACTTGGAGGACCATATTCAGTAAGGGGTTACAATATGGGCGAGATTGGCGCAGCAAGAAATATACTTGAGGTGATTATATTTTACTGGAAATTTACTTCTTTACTTGGAAGAAGCCACATTTTCTATATTGCAATTTGCAAAGCAGTTTTTTGAATATATGACTGGGCCATCATCTATTCATAATTTTATGATGGGAACTACTGTCCCAAAATAAACTTCATACATACTTTTCTACAGTCAACTTAACATTGGTTTAATTTTTAAACTTCTGTACGAAACTTTATCATATTCAAATTTTGTGATTCAACAGAACATTCAGTATAGTTTCAAAAAATGTTAATTGTGATTATTAATATAATTTATGTGTTATTTGGATATACCGAAGTAATTAACTTTATCATTGGTCAAACATCATAGTAAACCATAAAACAAACTGTAATATGGGGAGGTCACATCAATTTATTAGGAGACCCAAATGGTTGAAACTATCAATTCAAGACTAATACGGAGTAAATTTTTAATCAAGTGACTCTTTACTGATTAGTTTATAACCCGGGGAAGAATTCTTATAGAATATTAATTGCAATTTGCAAAGCAGTTTTTTGAATATATGACTGGGCCATCATCTATTCATGATTTTATGATGGGCACTACTGTCCCAAAATAAACTTCATACATACTTTTCTACAGTCAACTTAACATTGGTTTAATTTTTAAACTTCTGTACGAAACTTTATCATATTCAAATTTTGTGATTCAACAGAACATTCAGTATAGTTTCAAAAAATGTTAATTGTGATTATTAATATAATTTATGTGTTATTTGGATATACCGAAGTAATTAACTTTATCATTGGTCAAACATCATAGTAAACCATAAAACAAACTGTAATATGGGGAGGTCACATCAATTTATTAGGAGACCCAAATGGTTGAAACTATCAATTCAAGACTAATACGGAGTAAATTTTTAATCAAGTGACTCTTTACTGATTAGTTTATAACCCGGGGAAGAATTCTTATAGAATATTAATTGCAATTTGCAAAGCAGTTTTTTGAATATATGACTGGGCCATCCTCTATTCATGATTTTATGATGGGAACTACTGTCCCAAAATAAACTTCATACATACTTTTCTACAGTCAACTTAACATTGGTTTAATTTTTAAACTTCTGTACGAAACTTTATCATATTCAAATTTTGTGATTCAACAGAACATTCAGTATAGTTTCAAAAAATGTTAATTGTGATTATTAATATAATTTATGTGTTATTTGGATATACCGAAGTAATTAACTTTATCATTGGTCAAACATCATAGTAAACCATAAAACAAACTGTAATATGGGGAGGTCACATCAATTTATTAGGAGACCCAAATGGTTGAAACTATCAATTCAAGACTAATACGGAGTAAATTTTTAATCAAGTGACTCTTTACTGATTAGTTTATAACCCGGGGAAGAATTCTTATAGAATATTAATTGCAATTTGCAAAGCAGTTTTTTGAATATATGACTGGGCCATCATCTATTCATGATTTTATGATGGGAACTACTGTCCCAAAATAAACTTCATACATACTTTTCTACAGTCAACTTAACATTGTTTTAATTTTGAAACTTATGTATGAAACTTTATCATATTCAAATTTTGCGATTCAACAGAACATCCAGTATAGTTTCAAAAAATGTTAATTGTGATTATTAATACTAATTTATGTGTTATTTGGATATAATTAACTTTATCATTGGTCAAACATCATAGTAAACCATAAAACAAACTGTAATATGGGGAGGTCACATCAATTTATTAGGAGACCCAAATGGTTGAAACTATCAATTCAAGACTAATACGGAGTAAATTTTTAATTAAGTAACTCTTTACTGATTTGTTTATAACCCGGGGAAGAATTCTTATAGAATATTAATATGAATTACTTTAATATAAAAAAACACGAAATTCATGATTTTTAGTCATAGGCTGATGTTCCAATCCATTGGGTCCTAAATCGATTAATATACCTACCTATCTTTGGGGTATCTGATTGTTGAACCCTCAAGCTTTTGGATTGTAAATATTATTATTACTCATTCAGGTTGCGGCTGAGCTCCGGATCCCTGTGAGAGGCACCCACGTTTATGCATTTGCTGAACATGGAAATGATCTTGGGAGTTCAAAGGATGTTAAAGGGAATCCCACGGAGGTTTACAGGCGGGTTGGCCACGGTTCCTCTTACGGTGTTGGAGTCAAGCTTGGTCTGGTACGTGCTGAGTACGCTGTTGATCATAATTCTGGAACCGGTTCGGTATTTTTTAGGTTTGGTGAGAGGTTTTGAGGAAGACGGTTTATGGAGGGGCAATAATATTGCAAGTGGAGAATGACTTCTTTTTGTCCTTCCAAGCATACTGCAACTTTGCAAGAATGTAAAACTCGAGCCCTTCATGTTGCTTCAGTTCATGTTCAATCAACCTCTTTGGTAATTGCAGTGGGCTCCCCTTATATGTTTTGCACCAATTTGTCTCCTTTGCGTTCTCATTAGTTGGGATAGTGCTTAGGCCTCAAATATTTATGTGATTCTTGAAATATATTTTTTCCTTCTCTCAATTTCAGCAAACTTCTCAAGAGTTTTATATGTGATTTGTTTTTACTAGATGTGTGTTGTAGTTGAAATGATAAGTAACCTGTATTTTTTCTCCTTATTACTTCTCAGGCTGAGGTCTTACTATGTATTTCAACTCTTCAAGCACAATAGCTAATGTCTGTTTAGGTGACTCAGAACAGTATACGTATTTCCCATGTTATATTTCATACAACAATGCTTGATGTACCCACTTTATACCCACCATGTTTGTGAAGCTTTTTTTGTCTGTGAACCGGTATTTTGTTTGTGCAAAATATCGATTCACAGACAAAAAAAAGCTTCACAAACATGGGTGGGTACAAATGTGGGTATGAGAGTGGGTACAAACATCATTTTTGTATTTCATATTTTACCATGAAATTGAAAAAGGTCTATTTCCAAATTGACTTGTAATTATATTTCACAAGAGAAATCATGTCTTGAAAAAGGATTGTGTTGGTTCTACTGGCAAAATAGGGTTCCATACGAATATACTAGGGTTGGATTCGGTTCGGACCGCCCGTGACCCTGCCCGGCCCGGTACTGTGCGGGCCCGGGACCGGCCCGGTCGGACGGTCCGGGACCGGGTATGGGCCCGAACCGGTGGGAAGGGGCGGGGCGGGCTCGGTTCTGGAATAATGTGACCCGGGTCCGGTCTTCCTTTACCCCACCCAACGGCCCGGGTCCGGTCTTATTTAAAAAAAAAATTGTTTGGTTGGGCTATTAGCCGTTGGGGCCTTGGGGGTGGGGCTGGGGACAACCCAAACGGCTATATAGCCGTTGGGTGGGGTAAAGGGGGGGTCCGGGGGGGGTTGGCTGGTGGGGGGGGTGGGGGGTAAAAAAACCTATAAATACTCCTAATCTTAAACATTTTTTCATCTCTTCTCCAATTCTTCCTAAATCCTATTCTTAACTCTCTACTCTCTAATTCTCTTATTCTCCAATATATTATATTTATTATTTATATATCTACTTTATAGTTTATACTTAAGAAGTTAAGATGGAAAATCAAGATGCCATTATACGGTATAATTTTGATAAGCAGAAGGACCCGAAGACCGGGATGTGGTACGCAATTTGCAAATGGTGCGAGAAAAAATGTAACATGGGGGCTTCAGGCGGATTCGGGATGGCAATCAAACATATGAAGTCATGTGAAAAAGCCAAAGGATCGGGAGGTGTGGGAAGTTCCGATTGATTACAATTTTCAAAATGTTTATCTCTTAAAGTTTGTTTTAATTTTCAAATGTAGTTCCTATTTCATTTCAAATAAATGCAATTGAAGTTTGTTTTTAATACTCGTATAAAACTATAAACTATAAAATATAAATTATAAAAAAAAAAATTAACCGGTCCGGCCCGAACCGGACCCGACCCGTGACCCGGGCGGGTGGCCCGGCCCGAACCGGACCCGTCCAACCCTTGGGCTGGTCCCGGACCCATGTCATACAACCCGGCGGCCCGACCCGGCCCGAGTCCATCAATAGAATATACACAACAACAACGACTAACATTCACACACTTTATGTTTTTATATTGACAACGTTGTTTATATATAGACCCTTTATGCATTTTTGTTTATTAATACTCCCGAAGTTGTAACGTGTCAAGTGACTGTCAACTTGTCAAGTGACAATCGCATGAGAGAACTTATTTAACGCTAGCGCGGGAAGTGTAGGCTGTTTTGCTATGTGAAGTTATCAAATTGTTCATGTTTGTTAGGGGATGAAAACTGATTGTTTTGTGATTGGGACCTTGAACATTCTAATCACACCATTTTATTTATTACCCAATAGGGTAGCTAGGTACTTGGGTAACTATGTAAGAGCAAATGATTGAGGGAACCATATTCTAATCACCCCAGAAAAATAATTACCAATTTGCCATTTTCAAACCACAACACAAAAAAGGCTGAAGTTAAGATTCAGGTATGGCTATTTCGAATTGGCAGCTCAATGAATGAGTACACGCCCAACCACGAGAAATCTTCTCAAAATATTTACTTATGCTCTCAAACTTATTCTTTATCCACATTCCTTTTCAATCCTTCCCAAAATCTTTTCTGTCAAATACAACAATGATAATGATAAAGTGTAGGGAGAGATTTATGGAAGGATTCAAAAAACGATACATTATCTCTCCCTCATGTATTCACTTGAAGTAAATTAAAGATAAATTCACCAGTTTCAGAATCTTTCTCTAATTTTCACCTACACATAACTGAAACTTTCACTGGGGAAAAAAGGTCCAATTGGGCAATTTCAGTTGCATCACTACATTCATCATGAAGGTGGCATACTGGCATTTAAAGATGATAAGAACACAGACTCAGAAATCACTCCCCGCACTAATTGCTACAGACTATCCTGGAAGCACCAATGCATAAGTTGATTTATTATTCATATACATCTTTTGCTTAGAGCGCACTGAAACGTTTTCAGTATGTACTTGGTATATCATAATTCATAATGAAGGGGGAAGGATTAAAAAGCTCATAGACGAAGGAACCTTATATCTATCCTTTTCAGTTTTCACTCATCAGCAGGAGTAATACTGTGATATGTGCCGTATCTGTTCCCTAGCCAATCCCTCTGGGGCATCAGATTACATTCATGGTGAAAGCTATTAGACATTCCACCGTTTGCATTTCCGTAATGACCGTTGTGCCCCTGTCCATGAACCGCTGCAGCTATGGCAATCATCTGCACTATTTGCGGCGGCGGCTGAAACTGTATGGGAACTGGCGGCATCCCGTAGCTGCTGCGACCGGATTCGTGTAAGCTCTGTGGAACAGGCGTGGAAGCAAAGAGATGGTCGGAAGAGGAAGGCCCCTCGTTCGATAATCCTTGCATCCTCTTCAGATACAGCCTGTACTTCTGCAAATGACTCGCGACGTTCTCCCGCGTCAGCCCCTCCACGTTCATCAGCTGCATAATCGTCTTCGGAACCGCGTTTTTTATCCCGAGATGCGCCACCACGTCCACAAATCGCTTGTGCAGTTGCGGCGTCCACACAAGTCTCGGCCTCTTCACCGTCTTGCCCGACGATTCGTCGCCGCAATTCTCGTTCCGATCTGGCGAGTCGGCCTCCTCCGCTCCTCCAATAAACTCTATCCTCCGTGTCTTCCTTGGCTCGGATTCCTCTCGGCTCGGATCTGTATCATCGTCGGCAACGATCCGCTCTCTGTTCCTCCTCTCTTCGTTCAACGGATTGAAATTGAAAATTTTCGGAGAAGTGAGAGTGTGAGACTGATCTCCCTGGAGCGAGGAAAATGCTGGCTGCGACGCGCGATTGACGTTCAGCGTGTTCCTGGACGGTTCCGGAGAAATACGAAACGCCGATGCCAACTCCGGTGGGATCAACACCTGGGACAGAGGAGTAAGATCATCCGCGCTCGGAAGGCCTTCTTCCCACTCCGTAACCCTATCCTCATTTCCATCGCCGTCGCAGCCATAGTCGGTTTCATAGTGAGCACTTTTCGGTTCTTCGCCCATCGCAGCATATAGGCATAGATTTACTGACATATAAATTGTGATTATTTTGTTGTCTTACTCATGATTTAACATTTACGAAATCAGATTCCCTCATTTGCCAGAAAAGGGATTTTTAGCAGAATGATCGAAGTGAAAGATCGGATGAAAAGGTATTCCAATATCTATGGAATATTGGGGAGTAAATGGTGAAAATAAATAAATGAATTAAAATGAAAAGTGGAAAATGCGTGACTGCCATATCTGGTTCCAAATGTTTTCTGGAATAATCTCCAATCTCCAACAACTTACTTCACTGTATTTCCAAGCTATGTTTAATAAACCGGATTGGACCAGGTTGGCCCGGAAACCGGTGGAACGGCCACTAACCCGGTCCAGATATCTACTGACCAATAAATGTAGTTAAAACCGGAAAGACCCGACACTGATGGCGTCAGATTATACTGATTTCTTGTATTAATATGATCATATTAAAATGAATTGAAAAGAAAACGTCATAACAAACACAAAAAGCAATCAGAGCATATTTGTCATATATATATACGAACTCATCCATAAATCGGTTACGAGTACAAATAACATAAAGAAATGTAACCAACGTTTATTTGAAAAAGCAATCCCGAATATTTAGGACCAAAATCTATTAGCAATAACCATTGAATAAGTTTCTTCAGATTGAGTTGGGTTAAAAGCGCGAAATGTATTTGCGTCATCGCCGTCTTCAAATAAAGTATTTTCTACGGTAGCACCATGAATAGTACATAGCATGGCAGCGCCCAGTACACCGGCAACTCCATTCATATGAAAGGGGTTCAATGTCCAATTATGAAACCCTTGAAAAAATAGGATGAATTTGAATATAGCTGCTACACCAAAACTCGGTGCAAAGAACTAACCAGACTGACCTAGTGAATAAATCAAGAATACAAGAACGAGTTAAGAGTAAGATTGATCCTCGAAGTTGCATAAAAAGGGTTAAATAAGTCCTTAAATGTGAGACTCTGTCCGGCCATCACCATTCGGCGCGGTTCTCGGAGGAATTGTTTGACGAAATTTTTTGAGCATCTTATTCATTAAGTCTAGTTTACTCATACCAAATTTCAGCTAAAACTTCAATCGGCAAGGCATTCAAATGAAGTCTTGAAGATAACTGCGCAGTTACCTTCAAGAATTCATTTGAATGCCTTCGCGATTGAAGTTTTAGCTGAAATTTGGTATGAGTAAACTAGACTTAATAAATAAGATGCTCAAAAAATTTCATCGGAAAATTCCACCGGGAATCTCCCCAAATGGCGACGGCCGGACAATAAGGACTTATTTGACCCTTTTTATGCAATTTCGAGGACCAATCTGACCCTTACCACAAACAGAAACAAAAACAGCAATTTGAGCAAAAAATGCGATGGCGTTATAAGGTCGCAATTGAACGGACCGGGCAAGCTCAAATTGGCATCACATGAAACCTTTTAGTCCGAGAAGATGTGTTCATTATAATATAAAAGATCAAATGACAAAAGATCATACATAAAACAACATAAAAACCTAATAGAAACTTCAAGCTACTAAGGTAATTTCTAAAACATCAAAACTATAGTTTTAAAAGACGAAACATTTAAAAAATGAAGGTAAATCTCCGATCCAATCAAAACCAAAATAATCTCGTCTTTGGCTTGGAATTATCTGATTTGGTCTTTGGTCTAATTATTTGGGAATTTTACACAAAGAGACTAAAAATGAAAGCAATATCACTTTTTTCACCTTTCAAAGTTTCTTTCAAAAATGAACTATAAAGGATTTACTTTTCAATAATAGACCATGACCCCTAAGCTCACATGTGAAGTTACGGATTGCACATGAAAGATTGAAAATCCATCCATGTACCAACTTTATGCTCTATATTTGCACTTAGAAATTTTGTAATCTAAAAAAAATCGAAAAAATAATTGAAATAAAAGTTATGCATTCTGGAGCTAACTTAAAACTTTAAAAAGGTAAAAAAAAGGTAACAAAGTACAATAAATATATCGAAAAAGTATAAAAAGTGGAAAAACATAAATCATTTTTTAAGTTTAAAAAGGTAACAAAATACAATAAATACAAATAAAAAACTAAAAAAAGAGAAAACTTATAAATAAAAAATATAAAAAATACTGGTATGTAAATTAAGATAAAAATGTTTTGAAACTATTTCAAAATATGAACACTAGTTATAAGTATTTATGGAAGGACAAATATATAAAATTCTAAAACATTCGAAAAATTTAAATTGATTTTTTTTTAGTAAAATAAAAATAAAAAATAAGATTCTTAAAACTTATTAGAAAATAAGAAAAATAAAGTAAGCTAAAAATCGCGGAAAATTAAATAAAGCTGAAAACAAAATTGTTAAAAAACAAAAAATATAAAAAATTAAAATCAGAAAAATCGAATAAATATATAAATTTGTAATTTAATACTATTTTTTTTTACACAGTTTAATAATTAATAGTTGTTGCATATTGTACTTTGAGTTCCATTGTGGTTCTTTTTGTTGATAATTTTGATTTTTTTGTTTTTTATTGTTTCTTAGTGTTTCTTGTTGTTGTTGATATTCGAAAATTCAAATTTATCATTTTAAGTGTATATACATATGGAATTATGGGGGTTTTCACCGAAGAAGTAACTGAGATAAATATATTCCTAAATAAATATTTAAAATCAATAATAAAGAACAATAAGTAGCACAATGCAACAAAAACAACAAATGCAATAAAGAACAACAAGATGCAACAAAAAGCAACATAATGCAACAAAAAGCAACAAGATGAAACAAAAAACATGTGTGACACAACAAAAAGAAACAAAAAAACATGTGTGATACATCAAAAAGAAATTAAACAAAAAACATGTGTGATACAACAAAAAGAAACAAAAAACAACATATAGAACTATCACAATAATACACAATTCAATCCATTATTTCAATTCATTACATTTGTCTATTACATCATGTGGCTTAGATTCTTCTCATTTCTTCCTTTTAAGTTGCACTTTCCACACGATTTAATAAGTCCCTCTATCTTCATTTTCCTCGTCAATCTTCACGGGCTTATGATGAGCCTACTATTTATAGCTACATGCACCTTATGCAAAGATTGAAGAATATGAAAATCAATAACCATCAAAAAGCAACACAATAAAAACACAAAAAGTAAAAAAGAAGATATAAATTACAGCTTGTGGTATTAAGATGAATGCTTAACCGTTGATGTTGCATCATGCAAAAAGTTAATCATCTATTTACGGAGTTTTCGTTAGGAAATATGTTTTCTTATGAATTTCATATGAACATAAATGGTCTTACTATCTTGAAAACTTTAGAGGGACTAAATTACCTGAAAGCTGAAAATTAAGTTTTTTTATTTACTTGAACACTAAGGTGAGACCAATTTTTTCATACATGTTTCTAGCTTCGTTTGGCATGCCAATGATTTGTTATTACTTTAATCACTTGAAATAAAAATAAAGTTCAGAGCAAGAAAAAATGACAAGAGCAAGGATTATACACAAGGAATACAAATTTGTATAGAGAACTGTAATGGATAGCAACTTAGGAATGAGTCTTGATAGATAGAGCACCGAAAAGCACCAAGTCCATGAAAACCATTCTCGAGAGAAATTGTATATGAAACAAGATGTACTCTTATGGAGTTCATAGGAATTTCAGTATGAAAGATGTTTGTAATGGATAACAGCTAAACAAAATTAATGAATCATAAACAAAATGGAGCTTACTCCCCCTTGCACAAAAACATGTAGCAATAAGATACTGTGTATTATTTAATTCATTCCTTAAGACTTGTGAAGGGTTTGAATCAAATATATGAGATTTTTAATTCACTAAAAGCAATCATTTAAATGTTCATACCGATAAAAGCTGAGCTTACATCATCAATCCATACATAACATCTCAAGTAAACAAGCAATCTCAAAATCTTGAAAAAACCAATTGGAACAATATATTTTGGAGAAATTATTCCCTTGCTCTATTAGGCCAATCGGCCATTGTTTATATACAAGCATGGGATTACCGAAGCCATGCAATGTAACGGCTGTAATCCCAAAAATTAAGTCTACAAATATGCAAGCCAAATATATACATGATGTATCTAGGTACAATATGGGGTGGATACAATGATACAAATAAAGGTAAGAAATAAATTAATTTAATAGCAAATAAATGATTTTTGTAGGAGCAATAGTAGGCTACGGTTAATTCGCCCCCGCAGTTGATACGTGAGGCGGCAACCAAACGTGGAGACTGGAACGGAAGTCGTTGAATAAGATGCGTGGCAGGCCTTTGGTGAATATGTCCGCAAATTGATGATGGGTGGGGACATGTAGAATACGGACCTCCCCACGAGCCACTTTTTCCCGGACAAAGTGAATGTCTATTTCAATATGCTTTGTTTGTTGGTGTTGAACCGGGTTGCCCGCCATGTACATGGCGCTAATATTATCACAGTACACAATAGATGCTTTGGTAGGGGTGGAGTGTAGCTCAAGGAGAAGGTTACGGATCCAACATAACTCAGCAACAGCGTTGGCAACACCGCGGTACTCGGCTTCGGCACTAGAGCGAGAGACGGTGGTTTGACGTTTGGAGGACCAAGAGAGGATATTGTCACCTAGGAAAACACAGTAGCCGGATGTGGATCGTCTTGTGTCGGGGCAGTCGCCCCAATCGGCGTCGGTGTAGGCCATGAGAGAATGAGGGGCGGAGCGATGGAGATGTAATCCGAGGTGGGCAGTACCACGTATGTAACGAATAATTCGTTTTAGGGCGTGAAGATGAGGCTCCCGTGGGTCATGCATGAATAAACAAATTTGTTGGACAACATATGAGATATCGGGCCGGGTAAAGGTGAGATATTGTAAAGCACCGGCAAGGCTCCGGTAGAGGGTAGGGTCCTGCACCTCGGGGCCGACTGTAGCGCTAAGTTTTGCATTGGAGTCGGCTGGAGTAGCCACTGGATTGCAGAGGTCCATTCCCGCACGGAGAATAATATCAAGAGCATATTTCTCTTGAGATGAAAAGAGGCCGCCGGGTAGTGTGGTGACGGAGATGCCCAAGAAAAAAGAGAGATGGCCGAGGTCAGTCATGGCAAATTCACGATGGAGTTGAGATAAAATATCCCGTCGGACAGTATCTGAGGAGACCGTGAGAATAATGTCGTCCACATAAAGCAAAATAAATGCGGTGCCTTGATTGCCCCGGAGGATGAATAAGGAGTGATCACATTTTTCACTACAAGAAATTACACATTTTATGACAATAATTTGTGTGACACACAAAAAGTTGTCATATTATATTGAGTATTAGTTACAAAACATAAATTC